CAATCCTGGATCCAATGGTCACAAAACTTCATGACTAGATACAATATGTCATTAAGAAAATATTTGCTTTCAACTTTAGGGTCAAAACCCTTTTGGTCAATGAGTTGACTTTTCAGTCAAACGAACCGATCGATTGGAAAACCCTGAATTGACTTTTGGTGTTCTGAGTCCTTTGAGGTCTTGAAACTTCTTGGGTGGACTTCAATAAGTCATATAAGCTTCATGGACCATGATCCCGTCATTGTAATACCATTTAAATCAAAAGCCAAACCACAGTTGACTTTTCCTAATCAGAAACCCTAGTCGGGAGTCCTGGATTGCACTGCTCTTGATCTTTGGGTGACAACATCAAATTAGATTCATACTTGATCCAATTTAGTATCTTTGATGGTGTGGGGACTTGTTTCATGGAGAACCAATCCAAGACATCAATTGATCAAACCATCGAAACCCCGATTACTGACTGTATGGAACCCTAATTCACCTGTATCTTGACAAAGACAAACTTGAAAGGGGTTAAGGGTTAGATAAAAAAATGATGATGCTCCTAGAATGATGATGTAGATCTAAGGGTCAAAATTTGGGGTACAACACTTTTTGATGAAAAGAAATGGAGAAAAGTGAAGTAAGTGTGTGCTTGTGTGAAGTAATATGAAGTGAGGGAGTTATTATATCATGTGCGTGAAGGTTTTGTTCACTGTGTAAATTTATTTCATAAATAAGGAAAAAATGGGTGATGGTTATTTTATATTTCCTTTTTCTAAATGAACGATGTAGAGAGAGTGTACGACATGCTCTGTGCCTATGGGTCTATCGAGAGAGAGAAAGGTTCAAAAGTGATGCTGACATCTTTTCACAAAAAAACAATAAAAAACAAAATTATTTTAAAACATAAAGACTAAGTTTTTCAAAAAATGAAATAAAACAAAAAAAACTATTAAAAATAAAAAATAAATGTTAAAATAAATTTAAAATAAAATAAATAATTTAATAAACTAAAAATATAAAATCTGATTAAATAAAAATATTATTTAACTAAAATTAAAATAAAAATCGGTTAAAAACGAACAATCAGACTAATATCGAAGTGCTCAGAAAATAAAATGAATACACCAAAATGATCAGCGCGAAAAATACGTATCGAAAAAATACAACGTTTGATCAAGTTTCGAAATAAAATTTACCTAGTTAAATGACTTAAACTATCCAAAATGCAACAGAAAAGTGGTCAAAAAATTTAAATGAGCACGCTAGGTTAAACTACGTAAAACGTAGATTAATATCATTGACGTTTGCAGGCTCAATTTTAAAAATTTTCGTCCACTGATTTTACGCACAATTGACTTTTAGTTTGACCGATTCGACTATAAATTCAACAAGTTTATTTCATCTGATAAATTGGGTATTATGCAAGATGCAAAACATGATAGGCTATGAAGATGATGCAAAAAGACATGGGATCTTAGAGTAAAAAATTAGGGTATGACACCTATAAATGGTACGTTTGAGAAGTCACCATAACTGAAGATTATTTCAGTACCATCGTACTCACGAGAGTACCAAGAGATATCCATTATAGTGAGAGACATTACGCTTTTCAACCATTCGAGGTTGTCCTTGTTTTCCATAAAGGATTCTTTCTTTAGAAGATGAGATAAGAACAACTTGTGTAGTAACGTGGCACAACACATGATCGTCCCTCCTTTTTTCTCAGGTCTAAAGGTGAGGTAATAATAGATGTCATCAAACAAGGTTGAAACTGGGTTCTTGGTCAAGAAGACGCAGATGGAAGGCATATCAAGGAAATCTTCAATACTGGGAAATAAGACGATTTCATATATGAGCAAGTCTAGCACTGCTTTGAAGTCATCCCACATTCTTGCATCTGTGAAGGCCAGGGATTCCTCTATTAGGAACTTGTTGGGAAAAACTTAAGTGTTTCATTTAGGCCCCATATTTAAAGTCACTTCAGGTCTTGAAAGCTCTTCCAAACTGGTGAAAGATGCCTTGTCCTTCATAGAGATGCCCATAGTATAATCAAATTATTCCAGTGTCGGAGCTAATTGGAAGTCTAAAAATGTGAAGCATCTCAACGGAGGGTCGTAAAACTAAGAGAGAGCCAACAATGTCCATGGGTCTACTTCTTCACTTTATTTTTATCCTTTTTTATAGGAGTTAACTGGGAGCTCAGTTCTTTCAAACCTTCCAGTATGGGAGACTTGAATTTGAATGAATATGTGTTTTTTTTGTCTGAGCTCATTTTTCTAAATGCTTGCGATGACAATCTTTTGGATTCCCTAAAATCAAAAATGGACATGCCAAAGTGTTTTCATGATGAAAAATGCAATGCATGAATGAACATGTTTTATGGGTATTGGAATAATCCATATATAATTGATCATAGAGAAAGGTTTTAGGTACTTTTTGAACAGTGAACTCCACACGGGTAGGCTCTAGGGTTTTTATATGGTTTCCAGAGTCACGAATCCTTCTCAGAAATATTATCACCACAATGAGTACTCATTAGACAACAATATCTCCAAGAGGATCTATTCTAGATGAGGTCTTCATATCACCCAATGAGTCCTACGTCTCTTAGGTCAGTACTAAACAACCATCGACTCCAAGGTTCTAAACACGGTTCCCAGAGTCATGGATCCTACTCGAGAATATTATTTTTGTAACGACTACTCGTTAGACGATCCTTAAAAGTATCTATTTTGGGTGAGGTATTTGCATCAATCCAACGAGTCATACGCCTTGTAGGCCAATACTACACAACCATTGAATCCTAATAACTAGTTTTGGGGTCTTAAAGACGACCCTAATTGAAGATATTATTTCCACAATAACTACTTGTTAAACAAAAATACTCTCAATAGGATTTACTCTAGATGGGGTTTTCATTCCAACCAAACGAGTCTTGCATCTCGAAGGTCAAACACTGCATAACCACCATCTTATGCTTAAGTGTTTTCTCAGACTCAGATGTAGAGCCTTCCTCACAACATGCCATTAACTTGGAAATTCCAATCACCATATGGGAAACCAAAAAGTAGATGAACTAGCAAATGGTAACACCACATAAAGATGGCTGATATAGAAAACATGTGAACAAAGCTAGTATTTAACATAAAAATGACTAACTAGGTTTGACTCTCTTTAGGAAACAAGGGTCCCCATCATAGTCTCTAGTTGTCACGGCGCGAAAAATACCATGGGTGCTCACACGCTAGAAATAATAACATAGTTTCCACCGAAGTTTAGTTTTTTCAAAAGGAAAAGTAAAATGTCGATGAAACCCTAAAAGAAAAAAGAAAATGGTCGTCACAGTCAAATTATGGTTTAAGAGTCGGTTATGCGATGGGAAGATATTAGCACATTCACATCCATTGTACTCAACGGGAACCATTTAATTATATTTGCAAATTGAATGTTCGCTTTCGTTATTTGCATCCGTCTAGGTATTAAAAATGAAAAGAGAAAGACTAAAAATAAGTATTTTTTATTAGGGTGTCTGACAAGACTTTGAATCTCGCTTCTACGTATCCCCTAGTACGATGGAGAACTCAAGGCTACATATTTCTGGGTAGCAAATGTCTGTGGGTTGGTCGATTTTAGCAAAATGTACTTAGTCACATTCAAACTGAAAAAATTGCTTGCTACCCAAAACATAGAGAAATGAACATTGGCTTCGCATCAGAATGGACAACATAACTTGAAATCTCCCTGAGTTACGTTCTCGTCGCATTCGAGTGAAAAGTGTTCTTACTTCTTTCACATGGTAGGAACGAAGCTTTATTTGAATCGTCTCAGAACGTATGAAGCATTTTTCGTTTACGAAATTTTTTTGACATCACGCTAAGGAGGAAAGTGATAAGTTTGAGTAATGGTTCCTTAATGGAGGATGAGTATTCACACAGCAAGCTCTACAACCAGTATCCAAATACTCGAGGAAGAAAGAGGCCTACACCCAATTAATCCTTTTTCTTCTATGAAATAACGAACCAAATTCGGTTAATTATTGTATTTTAATACGAAAAACAAGTATTCAAACAACGAGCGAGCTCTACAGCCAGTGTCCAAACACTTAGGGGGAAAAGAGGCCTATACCCAATTAGTCCTTTTTTATTCGGTGTATTTGAGGAAAAGATTTTCAACGCGTTTCGAGTAAGCAGAAAAGAAACTTGATGTTGATCAAGTATTTTATTCGCGTTAGTTTGAAAATGGTTTATGAAGAGATTTGATTTGGTTTTGAAAGGGTTTTGGAATTGTGGAATTAATGATGAAATGTCTTTGAAAGTTGCTTGATGTTGATCAAGCATTTGACTTTTTATTTTTTAAAATGCTAATTTTAATTATTTATGAAGTGATTTGTTGATTTATTGAAAATTATGATTTTTTTTAATTTATTAAAATTCATTAATTTGATAAATAAAATAGCTTAATTATTATATAATACTATTTTCCAAAATAAAAACAAATAAAATAAAATAAATAAATAAAAAACAAGGGAAGGGGTGGGCCAAAGGCTCACTTAAACACACATGAAAGGAGGTACGGTCTGTAGAAAGGCGCACACTAAGCAAAAAAAGTAAAGCCCAACATTGAGGGCCCAAATAAAACCCAAAAGCTAGCAAAAATGAGAACCAATCATGGCCACTTGATACATATCAAATGGTAATAAATTTATCCAGCTCCAAACTCATCAAAACCCTTGGATCCATCCAAGGCACCAAAAGTTGAGGCACACTTTAGGGCGCCCTATATAGGGCCCTAGATTGAGTATAGTAGTCAACTCTCATCCATGGCTTAGAGAGCGCCTCACGAGGCTTATCCAAGGGATCAGAGAATATCTTCAAATGGGGCTAACACGTGAGTAGTAAGTCATTTGAACATTTCTTTCTCTCACCTCTTTCTCAATCTTTTAGGCTTCTCTCTAGAATCCCCTAGAATCCCAAACAAACAAACAATAAACCTTATTCATTCTTACCATAATCATGACTCAATCTAAAAAACAACAACAACACTATGAATCAAAACGAATGCAAATCAAAACCCCACCCCTCATGCACCCTGTCCAACCCCATTCCATTATTTTCAAATATTATAAGTACATAGTGATTATCAAAGGGAAAAAGACAGTACAAAAAGCAATGGAAAAAATAATAAAAAATAGAGCTCAAAGTCTACCAAGAATGCTTCAACAATCAAGTAATGGCCCTCTGTTCACTCTATCTCTTTCTCTTTCTTCTTCTTGCAAATCCTGCTTCTTGACTTCTACTCTCTATCTTTCTATTCCTTCAAATAAATGGTTTGCACGGGGGGGAAAAGAAGGAGGAGCTTTAGCCCAGCTGACCTAGAACTTCGATATGAAGCTCTAAAGAAGCTTGGAGAGGGGAGTTTTTTGAAGAGTTTTGGAGAAAGTTTAGGGTGTCTTTCTCAATGTCTTTGGTGGTTGCTAAGTGTAAATTTAGGTAGTTATTTACAGAGTAGGATTTTAGGGTTGGGGTAGATGAACTGGTGATTGAGAAATCGTGTGTTTTAAACCTCTATGAAGGGAAATTCGTTAGTTTTGAAGGAATCAATCCCTGATTTCATGGGATTTGGGTGAGTGGAGAGAAGGAAATGAACCGTATAATTGGTGACCATATGCATAAATTTTCCTTGGGATTTTGTTGTGAAAATTTTCCGTAACTTGTTTCTTCTTTTTACTGTTGTAACTTCCTAATATAATTGAGCAACTATAATCTCAAAATTTTCTTGTTACTACTGTAATCCTTGATGTAATTAGTTAGTTTAAAAAAACCTAATGAAAATCGTTCCATGTTCAAATTTTTCTGTATATTTTATCTTCAATAACATTATCTATGGTACCTTATTGTAATATGATGTCAAACATGACGAACAAAACAAATATTCAACTCGTGTTCTTTATTCCAATTTGATAAAACAAGCTGCAAAAATAAAATGGCCCAATAAGAAAATAATGCTTCCTTTTTTATTTTGTTTTGTTGTGTTATTATTGAACTTATTATTTTGAGTGAAAATATGGCCTTGTAGAAAAATGAGCGCAAAATCCAAAACTAAACCAAATGTCTTGGTATTCTAGCATTGTTATGAATGAATTTACCCAACTTGTCTTAGATTTATATGCATGATTTGAAATGAAAATTGGAACGTAAATTTCAAAAGGTTTAATGGGAAAAAATGAAGGCAACATGGATGAATGCAATGACTTAATTTCAAACGTTGCCTAAGTTTTTATTTCACTTGAATGAGGGAATGTATCGGTTCCTTCTAGACAATTTTGTCGAATGAGGTAAAAAGACCTATAATTTTGACTTGTCATACTTATAATGTTAAGTGTGAATCATGACAAGCCCAATTCTAAGTCTTACTCAACATGCCCATGTCTTCATCTTGAAGAAAAACAAACAAATCAAGCTAATCATGAACATGAAAGAGAAATCAACATGAACTAAAACTAAAACTTAGTTGCCAAAGAATGAACCATATTAAAGTAACAAATGAAGAATGCAATTGAGCTGTAGAAATGAATGCAAAAGTGCTTAAATGGGCAAAATTGGGGTACGACACCCTACATAAGAATCCAATAAACTCTTCTTGCATCAAACTAAGATACTAAGATTCCAACATGAGCACAACGGAAGAACACATCGGGATCTTCTTGCATCAAACTAAGACTCTAACTAGAGAACAATGTCGAAACCCACCGAGCTTTCCTTGAACCAACTAAAAACTCTTGTGAAAACAATATGATGGAACTTTTAGGCCTATTTTTTTTTATAGAGGGACTTAGTAGTATGATGGGTAACAAACCTTAATAATTGGTTAGTATTTAAGAAGCTTTTGAAAAAGGTGAAAGACTTTGCCCTAATGTAACAAGAGCCCACCATTGTTTACCGATGTATCAATAATGATAAAACACACCCAACTTCAAAACTTTAAACATGAGTCATGGTAAGACCTTGTAGAATACCACATAAATAATTGCAAACTCAGAGCAACCTCATACAAAGTCAAAGGAGTGTAACATCAGGGTTTATTACTCAAAACACTTTGGACCTACACGCATGTGTACGTTTTAGGCCCATGTTAGAGAAAAAAGACTTATGAGTAAGGCACTCCCTAAAGATAAGTCGAGTCCAATGCAATTTTTGATTTGGTTAGAAGTGCACACCTTAAAATAGAAAAAATGAGTCACTTCAGTTAGAAGGTCAACTCTCCCCTCCAGAAGTCTGCTCGACTCAACTTTTCACCGGTCAAAGCACTTCAGTTCTATGAGACTCATACTTTAGAGACTGCACACATTCAATATTTCTCCTAAAGAATCTTGCCCTTATGGGCCTCATGTTTGAGAAACGATGTACATTCTAATTTCTCCTCTAAAGTATCTCATCCCTAAAGACCTCATGCTTAGGGACTATGTACAATCTGATTTCTCTAATAAAACATCTCTCCTTTATGGGCCTCATTCTCTAAGGATCATGTACATGTCTGAAAACTTGGGTCGAATCCATTTTCTAGCTCAGGAAAGTCAACTCCAATCTCAAAGAGTCTTATGGAGCTTCATCGATCTGGATCATCATAAATGGGCTAAAGTAAAATGTCCGGCCCAAAGGCAACATATATTGTTGAAATGTAGTACACTTTAACCTTATGACATAACATTAGGAACGTATTAACGACCATAAATATATGGTCTTAAACAAAAAAAAAAAAAAAACAAGGTGCCAAATTCCTATTTACTCTCTTAAGCTAGACAGAGGAACATCTACTATAAAAATGAATAAATTGGTCATAAAAAGTATAAGAGCCTAGAAGACCATGTATAAACTAGAAAACGCTACACATTGGGACAAACCAAGAACTATGATCGGATGAATATTTAAAGTTCAAAGAAATTATTAAAATCTTTTAAAATGTTGATGAAAACTAAAAAGCATAATTTATTAAACGCTATATTTATTTATAAGGTTATAACTAAATGTATATGTGATAACTTCAACAATTAAATGATCTTTCTACAACATATTTTTTTAATCAAATATATACATTGTTTTTAGCCCCACTAAAATAAATTTCTTGATCTACCACTGGTGTTAATGAAGATGTCGCAACTTTCTTATTATATGTTGCTGTGTTAGGAAGATTTTAAAGTTTCATATTAGTTGAAAATAGAATATTGAAATAGTTTATATAGAGTGACATCTCTCATCTTATCAGTCGATTTTGTAGGGTTGTGTTAGACCAAACTCTAATATGGTATCAGAGTCTATCGACAAAATCTTGGACAGTCTACCGTTTAAATCTATGCATCAGCTGGTTTTATAGGTTGTGTTAGACCAAACTCTAATATGCTTAATTTATTTGTTTTCTTTTGAACCCTTAATTGTTTCAGACCACAACCACAATTGATCAGATGCTCTGTGGTCATGTTAACAATAATTGCTAATGGCGTGTAGGGAAAGATTTGGAAATTATAAGTTTCAGAGGGAACTAAATGCTTTATTTGGCAAAATGCATATAAATGCATGAAAATGAAACCATGTGACTATGTGTCATAGGAGTACTAGAAGTTTTCAGTATTAAATGAGATAGCATACTAAATTAGGGTAGAGTTTTATTGCCTTTATGGCGCCAAAAGAACCGTCCCTTTAGTTAATAGTTGTGAGGTTTTTGTGATAAAAAATAAATAAAAAGTAGGGAGAGATACACATAAAAGCATTATGGCGGCAAAAGAACCGTCCCTTTAGTTAATAATTGTGAGGTTTTTGTGATAAAAAATGAATAAAAAGTAGAGAGAGATACACATAAAAGCATGGGCCTCGTGTTATTCAACATTTCGCTGGCAGGAAGTAGTGGGTTTCGGATCTTATTTTTCACATATATTAAGAAGATAAGAAAAAAAATTATAAGAGATTTTATAATATTATCCTTTGTTAATTGTATTGAAAATATAATTTTAAATAATTAAAAATAAGTATAATAAATATTTGAATTATAATAAAAAATTAATATTAATAGTTTATTGATTAATAATTTATTAATATTGTAAAACGATATTAGTACAAATTTTTCTTTAAAACAGTAGAGTTTTCAAAATTCATTTTTCAAAAATACCATTTTATATAGTTTAAATGATAAAAATAATTCAAAATTCAAATATATATATATTTTAAATAAAAGTAAAAAACAAATAAATTATTTTATTCATTTCTATTTATTTTCTTGACAAATTAAAAAAAACAAAAATTAAATGAAATTAAATTGAATAAAACTCGGATGTGAAAATGTGCAAAAAATAAAAATAAATGTACTTAAATAATTTACGTAATATATACTATTATAAAACAGACAAATAAAGATTAAATTTTACAGTAAAAAATGTCTGTTGAAAAGATTAAACTTAATCAAAATACGATAAAAAAATATGATCGAAAAAATTAAACAAACACGTCAAATTAAACTATGAACCCGTAGATCAATAAAACAATAAAATATAAATCTGGTTTCAAAACTTTTCGTCCATTAATTCTACACGCAATTGAAAATCGATTCAAACAAATTTTATTTTAAACAAAACAAAATAAAATTTAATGAATGAAAATTAAAAATATTCGAATAAAATTAAAGTATGATAACCCTCTAATTAATTAATCCTAATTATGACAATGATGCATCTCTTTATTATTAATCTTGTGAAGTGTCAAAGTCTGTCAGGACATGTCCAGATCTGAAAATGAAAAAGAAGAAGATGTTGGTATTAGTGAAGATGTCGGTGACGAGACTCTCCTACTACGTTGTCGTGACTTACTTTATTTGTCTTTTTTTGGACTGTTAGTATGTTTTTTGAGTAATCAATCTCTTTTTGGTTCGGATTACTACTCAGTATTGATTACTTGTTTTTTCTTTTGCCTTGTGAGGCAAATAGGGAGAGAAAAGACACTTAAAAAGAATTAGGTATATTATATTGATTAAGACTTTTGTTTCTTCATAAAACTGACCTGCTTTGTGGTCATGTTAATAACAATGCTAATGGCGTGTGGGGAAAGATTTGATGTTTCTGAGAAAACTAAATGCTTTACTTGGCAAAATGCATATAAATGCATGCAAATGAAACCACGTGACTTTGAGTCATAGGCGTACTAAGATGTTTTCGGCATTTATGAAATAGCAGACATAATTGACTCTCTACTCAACCACTATATTTCAACCGCATTAAAAACCGGTGCAGATAGTTTAAACATGTTTTTCTTTAAAAATTAATTGATTTTTTTTTAAATACAAAAGAAATGTTGTTAATAGAGATTCGACATGAACCAACAACTTACATCTA